GATGGGGAATGTCATTTAGATCTCCTATGTGCATGTTAGAACTTTTATAATTTAGTTTTTACACTTTTTTCTATTTTGCTTTATGAGTACATTTTCTCTCTGGTGCAAGCCAAGGTGGAAAACAGAAAGATTTGTCTATGTGTGTACACTCTATCAATGGGGCAAGATTTATCAAAAGAACGTTCTTTCTCTACTGAATTGCCTCTTCAGCTTTCTCAAAAGCCAGCTCTCCATGTATGTGTTGCTCTGTTTCTGGATTCTCTCCTGTGCTTCCTTGGGCCATTTGATTTTATGCCAGCGTCACTCTGCACTGATCACTGTAACTTCATAAAAAGTCAGGATGTGAGGTGGCGAGAGTCCACCAGCTTTGTTTTTATTCAAATTTTGTTGGGCTGTCCTGGGTCCTATGTGAGTGACCAAAATGACAGAGTAGAAAAGGAGCTATTTGTCTGAGAATTTCATAAAATAAATTGGATCCAAGTACTACACTCTAAATCTAACTTATTGAAATTTATACTGCTTCTCCCCTCTGTCATCTTTGCAAAACTGAAACTATTAACTTATGAACCTTAAAATATTTTAGATTTCTCATTAACACCGTCTAGAATTTTGGTTACACTGGAATTTATATATCAACTTCGGAAGAATTGGTTAAGGATGCAGTATCTTTGAAGGATAAATAAAATATTTCATACTTTTTAAGTTTACAGAAAGTCTCACTGATGTTTTGTAGATTTCAATACCCAGGTCTTTTACGTAATGATGTCAGTACGTCAGGTATGAAGTGTGATCAAAGCCTACAACGAGAGCTTAAAAACATTCATTGCAGTAAAAGACGTATTGCTGTGCGTCCCCTTCGAAAGTCTCCCTCTTGCTTCAAGACACTTGTCCCACCGTCCTAGCCACTCTCAGAGGCGGCTCTGCAGTCCTCTTCCATGAGTGTCTTCTGTTGCGCTGTCCTGGCTGCCTTGGTGTCCTGAGTCGATTCAGAAAGTTGCCCTTTGGTACTCATTTTGACTTTGAGAAAGAATTCTCACCGTGCCGGTTCCGGTTCCCGGCGACTAAGGTGGGCGAGGACACAGCGTTGTCTTGGGGAGCTGCCTTTCCGTTGGCTGCCACTAGGCCGCAGCATCCACCCTACTTTTGATCACACCTTATAAGGATTCAAGAAAGAGCACTCCAGAGCGGCTGCAGAGAGAGGCGGGACGGTGGGATGGTGGGGTGAGGGGTGTGCAGGGAGGGGCGGGGCTTGGGAGGCGGTCAGCGGCAGCGCGTCTTTCTCTATAATTTTTTAAAATTTAAATATTCGTTGTTTAAACAATCATGTTTCAGTCGCCCCTACACCATCCTAAATATTCTAGGTTTTGATGCCTTTTTAATTAAAAATGTATTTACTGGAAGTTTCTTGCTAGTATATCCGATGCCTCTGCTCAGGTTGAAATCTGTCATTTGCATGTGTCTCCTGTCCTCTTTGTGCCTTCGTGGGTGTACTGTTGTGACTTCTCTCGCTGGTACTTGCTGTCTTCGCGGGTGCTGTGGCGTGTGGAGGCTGTCCCTTCGACTGCACCCGCTTAGCCTCCGTAATATCCTGCCTCCGCATATAGTTTAAAGCATGACTGGCAGTAGGATAGTCCATTTCTCCCTTCTCATATACTGTACACCTACGTAAAGTGCGAGCTCCATACTCCACCATTAGTAATTTCAAACATGAAATGATATTTTAAAGGTCTTTTCTGTCTTTTGTGGTACCGAGTAATTACATTCCGACCCCCACTTCGCTCCTCTCGTCTTCTGTGACGTCTAGTGCAGGGCTGGCTGCACCCCATAGTACGGTTTTCACTGCGGCCCTGGAGGGCCTCCCTCATCTCTTGACATTTTACATTTGAGCCTTCCTAATCTCCCTTTTGTGTCTATTTACCATAATTCATAACGCCCCAGGTTTTGAGCACATGGAGTCCAGTTATAATGACTGTGGTGCCCTAATTTGCAGTTTTCCCAGGTGTTTCACTTCTGGGGTGCTTCTTCTGGGACATGTTTTCTTTTTAATGTGGGTGCTGTTTTACTGCTTTTCTGCATTTATGGTCATTTTTATTACATTTTAGGCATAGGAGCATTTGACTTCTTCAGTATTTAGGATGCTCATGTCTGTAAATTTTTGAGTCCTCTTTGGAGTTGTTATTTGAAATCAATTTAATCTTTCCAGGACATAAAGAGATCTTTTAGGTGGGAACAGAGCAGTATTTACCCTCAGCTGAGTGCAGAGGCCCCTGGGACTCTCCCCAGAGCCCCATGGGCTGTGACATCTTCAGGCCAGACACAGCACGTCCCGGTCCAGGGCCCCACAAGCTGGAGTTGCTCTTTCCTTAGATGGACCCTGTCTGACCTCGGGACTTGCCCGGGAAGCGCCCGCTGACCATCAGTCCATGGAGTGCTGCGGGTGTTCTTCACAGTGGAAATCCTCCTCTGGTGGCTCTGCCCTTTCTGCTCTGTGGACTCCAGTGACCTGCTCGTGGAGGGCAGGGCAGCAGGAGTCCTGGCCACCCAGAGGCCTGCTCCTTGTGCTGGACCTGGAGCAATCTCGACAGTCAGCGGGACAACAGCAGGGCTCCCCTCGCTGCCTGACCTCCGGCTATCCCCAGCGGTGGGCTTCCACAGCGATTCGCTTTAATTGTGCTAGCTATTGCTCAGCAGGACAGATTCGTGTGGCAATACTCCTTGTAGCAACATCTTTTCTTTTTTTCTATTTTTAAGGAGAATAATAAAAACAATATAGAATTTTAAAACAAGATAAGAAATTTGCAATGATTATTATAGTGCATATTATTGTCTTCAAAGTAGCTGCTCAGATTGCCAGATACAGGCACGTAGGATTGCTCAAACAGTGTGAACACTAACTGTTCCTTTCAATGAACTAATAGCAGGAGTGCACTTATCTTAGCGAGTGTGTGTGTGTGTGTGTGTTCCCTTCCCTCTTTTCTCCTCTCCCCTACCCATTATTCTTTCTTTTTGAGGAGTTTCTTTCCCTTTCACACTGTCTGTTGTGCCTTTTGGATCTTACTTTGCAATTTCTTCAACTAGGGAGACGATATGATGTTTACACATGTGGGCCTGATTTATTCACTTAGGAGTGTGCTCTCTAGTTGTGTCCATTTACCTGTACAAGCCTCAAGGTTATCTTTCTTTATAGCTGAGTAATATTACATTGTATAAAAACACCGCGTTATTATCCATTCCTTGGGTGGGGGGCATTTGGCCTGTCTCAGAATTTAGCTGTGACAGATTGCACTGCTGTGAACACGGGTGCATATGCATTACACTGCTGTGAACACGGGTGCGCATACATTACACTGCTGTGAACACGGGTGCGCATACACTACACCGCTGTAAACATGGGTGTGCATACATTACACTGCTAATGCGGGTGCGCTTACATCACACGGCTGTGAACACGGGTGCACATACATCACACGGCTGTGAATGCAGGTGCACATACATCACACTGCTGTGAACACGGGTGCACATATATGACACGGCTGTAAACACGGGTGCACATACATTACACTGCTGTAAACATGGGTGTGCATACACTACACTGCTGTAAACACGGGTGCACATACATTACACTGCTGTGAACACAGGTGCGCATACAGTACACCGCTGTAAACACGTGTGCACATTTATTACACCACTGTAAACACGGGTGCGTGTATATTACACCGCTGTAAACACGGGTGCGCATACACTACACCGCTGTAAACACGGGTGCGCATACATCACACTGCTGTGAACGCGGGTGCGCATACATCACACTGCTGTGAACACGGGTGCACATACGTTACACTGCTGTAAACATGGTGTGCATACATTACACTGCTGTAAACATGGGTGCGCATACATTACACTGCTGTGAATGCGGGTGCGCATACATCACACGGCTGTGAACGCGGGTGCGCATACATCACACTGCTGTGAACACGGGTGCACATACATCACACTGCTGTGAACATGGGTGCACATATATGACATGGCTGTAAACACGGGTGCACATACATTACACTGCTGTAAACATGGGTGTGCATACATTACACTGCTGTAAACACGGGTGCGCATACATTGCTGTGGTATAATGTTTTCAGTTCTTCTGGGAAAATACCCAGAAAGGGAAAAGCTGAATTGAATGGGATCTCTAATCCAATTTTTTGAAGAATCTCCACACTGAGTTCCACATTGATTATGGGAGTCTCCAGGTCCACTAAGAGTGGAGAAGGGTTCCTTTCTTCCCCCAGTCTCACCTGTACTTGTTATTGGTTGTTTTTTTTGTTGATAGCCATTCTTTCTGGGGTGAGATCGAACCTGTGTTGTTTTAATTTACATGTTTTGAATGACCAGGGATGTTGAGCGCCTCTCATGTGTGTTTCTTCCCCTGAGAAGTGTGCATTCATCTCAGGAACATGGCACGCAGGAGCATGCCTTGCAGTCTCATGGTAACATGTGCAGGCCACTCGCGGGAGTGATGAGAAATGAGGGTCAGGTGACATTCCAGAGTCCTGGCCACTTGGCTTCCACAAAGTGGCTACATTTGTTCTTTTGGTCAGGGCAAACTGTTTGTGCTTCAAAGCAGAAGCGCAATATGACCAGTCAGTATTTTAGAAAATAATTAACTGAAGATGGCCAAAGATTTTCTAGAAATTACTGTCAATGGCTGAAGGTTTTTTGCCGAGGTGGAAAGAGCTTCAATAGTAAAACACTACATTTTAGCATTCCTGCCCTCTCTTTCCTTTCTCCCGCCGTCCGTGGCCCACTCTCCTGTCGGGGTGAGGCCCAGCCCCTTCTCCTTCAGGTGAACTGGGAATGCGGACTGTTCCTCCCCAGTTTAGCTTCTCCCCTCATCTTCCAGAGGTGGCTCTGAAGTTTTCTATCTACAGAAGTTTCATAGTTTGTTCCAGAAGGTTGGACCTTGGTTTATTCTGATTTTATTTTTCCTTTCTTTCCTTTTCCAGTGTGCTCGGTATGACAACGCCTTCATTGCAGAGATCTTGATTGACAGAGGAGTCAACATCAACCACCAGGACGAAGACTTCTGGACCCCAATGCACGTCGCCTGTGCGTGTGACAACCCTGACGTCGTGCTGCTCCTGGTCCTGGTGAGCAGCCTTCGTGCCGTTCGTGTGTGGTGCTGTGTGAAGGCTGACTTCACTGTCTTTCATAACATGTGAAGCTCATTTGAGAAGAATGTGTGTGCGTGTGTGTGTGTGTGTGTGTGTGCCGTTACTGATTGCCCTAGCAGGCAAGAGAATTAGGGAATGAGGCGTTGGGTCCCTGAGTTCCTAAAGCACCCCGTAGAGAGATGGCCCGACGGGCTCCGTTTCACTCCCCTGCCTCGGAAGTTCTTTACACTGATACGGGTCCGTGCTGACTAGAATGCCTGCAGGGTGTTAGTTTTCAATCTGTTCTTATTTCCTGAATTACTAGTCACACGACAGACAATCATCAGCCACGGTCTTGGCTTCCGCCGAATCTTCTTCCTTCAGTTGCAAGTAAGAAAAAGTACTGGAAAGATTTGTTTCCGTAATAATGAAAGCCGTAGTGCACACCGGAGGCTGCGCTGCTTTCTGTCACGCTTACGTGCTCATGCTGACGTTCACGCAACTTTGTATTTGAGTTGAGATAATTTTTCCTGAGTAGCTTAGCTCTTCAAAGGGTTTTAAGAAATGATGTGAGATTGTTGTATTTAATACTAAAATTATAAGAAAGTTTTTATGTTTTTTCTTTATTAATGAATATCATCAGATTGCTTGATTATTTCCTATTATTTGCCTGACTTTTCACATATATAATTGCATATAAATAAGTGCTCAGGATTTTACACAGTGGCAAAGTTTGCTCAGATGCATTGAGCAGCCAGCCACAGACCACAAAACGCGCCCTGGGTTTGCACACAGGCTCGCTGTGCAGAGCCCTCTGCTCCGTCTGGGCCTCAGTAAGTGTCTGCTGTGATGCATTCCCCCGGTGTGGTGGCTCAGCGAAAGTGAAGTCTTTCCTCTCCACATCCTGCAAGTTGGTGGTCTGACATCAAGACGGTAACCCTCAAGCCAGCCAGTGTGTCCATTGACATCTGGATAAAGAATATGTGGTGTAAGAGCCGGCCAAATAGCTCAGCGGATTAAAGTACCTGCAAGCAGGTGCAGGGCCCAGGAGTTCGATCCTTGGGCCTGCCGTGCCAGCCCCACCCCCAAGGCACGCTAAGACAGAGTTGAGACTGGGCATGGTGGCGCCTGCCTGTAATCCCAGCTCCAGAGTCCAATCTAGTAGCGAGACCCTGAACATCTCCATCTCCTAGCCATCATTGACTGCATCTGTGTATTGTCACCCAATGCCACAGCCCTTAACAGTTATGATATAAAGGTGGGAGGTGTTGAGTAGGCTCCTGTGTTCAGGGGACTCACAGGGCAGAAACACCATGGCAGAAGGGTGTGGGGAGCAAAGCCACTTAGGTCACGGAGGCTGGGAACATCCTATAGACCCTTCTCTAAAATACAAAAAGAAAGAAAGAAAGAAAGAAAGAAAAAAAGAAAGAAAGAAAGAAAGAAAGAAAGAAAGAAAGAAAGAAAGAAAGAAAGAAAGAAAGGAGCCTGTGTCTAATGACATATTCCTCAGCCAAAAATGTGGACAAATTCAAGACATTTGCAAGAAAATGGATATTGCATGAAATCAATCAGACGTACAAATGGACATACCGTACGGTGACTCATTTCAGTAAGGTGAAATTCAAAGAACACGAGAAATGAGGGCTAGGAGATGGAGAGCGGGTCTCTTGCAAGTGGGAAGCGGTCGCAGAGACCTAGGGAAAGCGAAATCCATATGATAAAGGTAAGCTGGGTACAGCAAGCCAGGAACCCCAGTGAACGCAAACGCTGCATGCCATAAACGTGTGGGAGGATGAATAATATCAGCAAGAGTGCACGTGGGGCGAGGGGACTTAGGAGAGGGAGAAAAAGAGGACAAAGGAAAAGGGTACATGTGTTCCTGCCCCAAGACAAAGGTAAACTACGTGGACTAAAAATAAGAGAGTGGGGCCGGGCCGTGGTCCTTCTATGGGCCCTCGAGAGGGATGCTTCCAGGGCTGTCCCTCGTGTTCATCTGCTTATTCACAGCTGAGCCACTGCAGTCCCTGCCTCTGCCACCATGCAACCTTCTGCTTCTCCATGTCCAGCCTCCCTGTCCTCTTATTTTTCTAAGGATTCCAGCCAGGAATTCAGGACTTAGCCTGTGCATTATGACCTCATCCTCACTTGACTGCATCTGTGTATTATCACCCAACGCCAGAGCCCTTAACAATTATGACATAAAGGCGGGAGGTGTTAAGTAGGCTCCTGTGTTCAGGGGACTCAGTCCATGGTCACCAGGGCAGAAACACCACGGCAGAAGGGTGTGGGGAGCAAAGCCGCTCAGGTCACGGAGGCTGGGAAGCAGAGTGAGGGGAAGTGCCAGGAGGAGTGAAGGAGCCCATGGAGGCGGCAAGGCAGACACCTGGACCCCAGGACGCCCCCAGACCCGCCCAGAAGGGGCTCCGCCAAGCCCCAGGGCAGGCCACCCAGCAGCCCAGGTGAGCTCCGGCCCACCCACCACAGTCTGCGAAGGCCACTGTCACAGATTGACACAGTCATCCGTAGTGCACGGCTTCTCTTTCTCCTGTTTATAAAAACCCAAGGAGCGTTTTATGACTAAAGACTGAATTGAGACTTCTGTTGTCATGCTGGAGGTTTGGCTTCACCTCCTTTTCTCTGCTTCGTTCCTCAAGAATATGCAGACTTTTGTAAAATGGGAAGACGTGGCTTTGAAAATGTTTTTCATTAAAATCCTGGAAGATAGAGGGTTTCTTACCCTAGTAATGAAAGATAGAGGAAGTGAACATTACTTAGTTGAAATGGAAACTTTTGGAGAGCGAGTATTCAATATGAAGTGTCACAAGAGGTACTGCTATTTTTTTTTTTTGAGACAAGCATATTGCTTTGCAGTTCAGCCTACCCTTGAGCTCACTCTGTAATCCAGGCTGGCCTCAAGCTCATGGAGAGCCTCCTGCCTCAGCCTCCTGAGGGCTAAGGTCACAGCTGTGCACCATCACGCCCAATGAAGAACAAAATATTTTTTAGAAATAAAGTGTGAGAGGAACTTGCATGAAGAGGGAGAGCATGAAGGCCCAGGGCTTGCTCAGTAGTGGAGGAAAACAGAAAAGGTGTCCTGAGGAAGAACGGGGTCGGCCTTGAGAGGCGCTGTGGAACAGGCAACGGTGGCTCCAGTAGGGGGAAGGGGCCTCCTCCGTAGCCCTTGCTTCATGCATTTCTGGGTCATCCAGCTGATGTGTGGCCTGAGTGGGGTTGCCACCTTGTGTGGGAATGAGGTGAGCGAGCAGCGTGGCTTGTGGCTTCTGTGGCTTTCCTGCCTTCTCATACTTAATGCTGAGTGTTAGTTGCGCAATCCATGAGCATCGTAAGAGCCTATTGTCATGTATTTTCTCTAATTATTGATTGCACTAAGCCTTTTGCCAAAGACGGCTCTTCGGCTTTCTTTCCTTGCCTGCATGCAGCAGGTCTTATTTCTTCAGAGCAGTCAATATTCGTGTGACTGTGCTTGAAATTTAAAAACCCTCCATGTGCTTCCTTGAGGTCAGGCAGGTCTATGGGCTTGTTAGCTTCATTGTTAGCTTCAGCGAAGGTGGCCTTCTGCCATCCTCGGATGTCTCAGCTTCTTGTTTACGATGGAGCAGGACAGGAGGATCTGGGGTGGCTTCTCAGGTGACACCCACAGTTAAGTATTGCAGCAATGGCCCATGCTAAAGCATGACACAAAGAAATTGATGCAGGGGACTGTGGAGATAGCGCAGCAGTCTAAGCGCTTGCCCAGGCAGGCTCAAGGACCTAGAGTTGATCCCTGGTGCCACTTGCCATGCCTGCCCTACCTCAGGTGGCTGAGCCAGCTACCAAGACAGGGCGTGGTGGCCCACGCCTGTAATCCCAGCTCTGGGGAGGCTGAAACAGGAGGATCACTGAGTCTGAGCTTCATGATGAGACACTGTACCAAATACCTAAAACTTAAAGAAGAAAGCAAGCAACGAGGGCTCGGGACTCGACGGCACCCTCATTTCCAGGCACAGCAGCTGTATCTCCCTGCGGCTGACTCTCCTCTCACCTAGCACAAGCCGCCCCAGCACCCGCAGAGCAGACTCATCACAGACAGCTTCAGGCTGGCAAGCTACTGCGACCACCTGTGTCGTGGCTGTGACCAGAGCTGGGGGTAGGATGGGCCACCTAAATGGGGTCCCGGCGGTGTCAGTTCACAGGGCACCACGATGATAAGAATGAACTGTGCGGTGGGACGCGAGGTCTCTCTGGGGCTGCTGGTGTCAGACACCAGCTGTCTGTCTGGAGGGCAGCAGCACCTTCCAAGGAGAGCGAGGGAGCAGTGGCGCTGAGCCAGCCTCTGGAATACAGGAGGAGAAAGCATGGCGGGGTGAAGTCCCGGGCGTCTGTCCTTACCGGAGCTGCCTTCTGTGGGCGTCGGGACCCGTGGTGGCTTCAGGATGGCACAAGCTCTGTTCTTTTGTTTTATCTTCCCTGTCTTGGGATTTGCCAGGCCTCTGCGTGTCCTGGGGATGAGCATGTTACCTGCACTGTGAGTTGCTTCACCTCCGCATGAGCTTGCAGTTGTTTAAATAATGATTTATAATTTCTTTTTGTCCTCATGGGATGCAATTTCTGTAACATTTGTTTGTTCCCGTGGCAACAACTCAATCACATAGAAGACGATTGAAACAGCCCTTCTGTTTGGAGTAATTGGCTTATAATGTGGTTCAATCATTCTTTATCAACTTACACTTGTGTTTATTAGCCAGCATCAAGTTAAGCTGTTTATGTCATGTGTAGTGCTCCAGACCTCAAATCCCAGCACTGGAGGCTGAAGCAGGAGGGTCATGAGTTCAAGACCAGCCTGGGCTGAGTAACAAGGCTGCTTCCCAAATTAAACCATCGTAAGCAGCTTCCAGCCAGTTGCACAAGTAGCAGCTAGTACGTCCAGGGCTGTTTGTCCAAACAGTGCCTCCAGTTTGATAGCAGCTGTCTGACTTGCCAAGTACGTGAGCCACCAAATGAACAGAAGAGAAGTAGACCAGTCCCTGGAAGTCAGCCTGCATTTGATACTGCCGGATGGACTCATCTAATGTAAGCTGTCGTGTAAGCGCAGCCATCACTTGGCATACCTGAGTTTCCCATCCCACTCAGCGCGTGCTCCTAGGGTCTGCCTCAGCCCATAGGCCCTCTCGTCTGATCTTTCTTCTCATGCCAAGGCAGCGTTGAGAATAGAGATGAGCTGCGTTTTGTGTGTGGCCAGTTGCATGCTGGTGTTTGGGTTATTCATGGCTGTGCTCTCTGTATCTCGGTAGGACAACAGAACCTCATGCGCCAGTGACAGTTCTGCTAGTTATTCCTACTCAATGGCTTTCATTTACTGATTACCATCTTCTTTCACTTAGCTAATGAGTATTGAGTGATCACTTACTGGGTATTAACACAGGGCACCCCCCGAGGGAAATTATAGTCCATTCTTTCAATCGCTCTTCATTCACTTGGGAAGCATTTATTGAATGATGACTATGTTCTGGACGCTACCCAGTGAGCAGGAAGGCATGCTCCAGCACAGAGAGGGCAGACAGGAAGGAGCGGCGGCAGGCCCCAGGGACATCCGGTGAAGGGGCGCAGCAAGTCTGAGGTGACTTATTCACACAATGCCGTGGCCAGCCCTAATGTCCATCCACGGAAGCTATTTACTTTTAGATAAATGCTGATGAAATATGTTGTCATAAAAATTCTAATTGCTATGGAAGTATGTTCCTGCCAACAACCTCAAAACAGAGTTTTATTTCACCTGCAGAATTAAATGCCCCTGGGCACCGCTTAGAGCTGTGTGTCTCGGAACCCTAAGCTTCTGCTCTTCCCGGGGTCCACACAACCGGAAGTCCCCCAGTGGGCTCAGTATGTCTCCCTTTGAAATAGCGTATGTTTCCCTTTTTAATTTTTTTATTTTTATGAGCGCTTTGTGTGCACAGTGATTCCTTCAGCGTGGGCAGCTGTTCCATGCTTAAGCGCATCTATTCTTTCTCCCCTTCGTGCACTCCCTTGCTCCATCTCCTCAGCCTCTTCCTTCTTACCGAGGACTGATCTCCTTGTTTCCTAGAATCCGTCGTTGATTCTGCCCTTCGGTTTCTTGGTACTCTGGGTTCCTGTTGCAGAGAGCCCGTGCCGTGGATGAGCCTGCGTGTCCGCTTTCGTTTGGTACTGGTTGCGCCTTGAGACCTTATTTCCCTCTCTGAAGCTCTGCCTTCTAACTTGTCGCCTTAGATTTGGGGACAGCATCAAGAAATGCTGCGCACAGCGTCAGCCCTCACTGTCCACGGCTTCGTGAGGACGCGGGCCTCGCTTCTAAGGGGTGCAGGCTTAGAACGTTTGGAGGCTCTGGTCGGTGCCTCATCAACCGTAGCCCACGGCCTCGTATCCTGCTGGGATCGGGTGATGATCCCTGTGGCATAGAATTCTGAAAAGGGTCACTAGTGTCACTTAGTGATAAATATAGATGATTTTCATTTTCCATGCACTCCCTGTTTGAGACTTACCTACTTGGTAGTGCTTATTTGTAACTCAAAATCGATAGCCATGGCTGCTGTTTAAAGACACTTTGTCTATACTGAATACTGATTTGGCTGCACCAACACGACCTCTACTGTCACAGGGTCTCCTCCCAGGCCCGTGGCTTCCCTCATGGGTGACTGGTGAGACAGGCCCAGCCCTTGGCCCCTTCCTATGCTGGACAGCACTTAGGGCCCATTCTTAGGATCATTTCTAAGAGCTTATAATGAGCAACAGTACACTACATAGACCACGAACTGGCCAATGCTTTCCTATGGAAAGCTGAAACAAGGACCACGCTCTTTATGCTGTCTGAGCTCAGCCACATGCGTGCAGGTTGGGGGACTACAATTCTTTGTCATTCTGCATAGGACTGCGCATGGTCGCCTGTGCACCATGAGCATGGATTTGGGGGCTACCAATAAATGTTAGCAAACTTGGAATAGGTGAATGACAATGATTTATATTTATCGCTTAGCAAAAATATTGGTGCTTTTCAGAATTTTAACTTTGAAGTAGAAATCACCCAGCCCTAGTATGTTTTAGGAATTTGGAGATCAAAAACTAGATTCCTGCAGTACATTTTTTTAAAATTTAGGACAGGGTCTACAGGGTCTGCAGGGTCATACTACATAGATCACACTCATAGCGATCTACCTGTGTTCAGCCTCCCAAGAGCTGGGATTATAGGTGCACACCACCATGCCGTCTTCATCGCCATCTCATCGAGCCCCGGGGGTGGGGCCAGAATGGCATGCCGGGGATCGAAGCTGGCCTCTGTGTCTGCCTAAACAAATACTTTAATCCACTAAGTTATTTGGCCGGCCCTTCCTGCAACACATTTTGAAAATTCTTTTTTTAAAAAATCTTCTATTTATTTATTTATTTATGCATTTAGTACAGGGTCTTGCTACACAGCTCAGACTTGTAGTGATCCTCCGGTCTCAGCCTCCCCAACTCTGGGATTACAGGTGTGTACCACCATGCCTGGTTTAGAGACCAGTATGGCACACCTGGGGTTTGGGGACCAACATGGCATGAGATACTGGGGAATCAAACCCAGGTCTTTGTGCTTGCCAGGAAGGTACTTAGATTGCCAAGCTGTCATCCTAGCCCAATTTTGAAAATTCTGACAAAATTATTTCATTATTACTTATAATTTCTTTTGTGTAGTTTAATAGGCTGCTGCAGCTTCCTATGTTAGCAATGCAGCAGTTTAATGCATTTTGAATCAACAAAAGCATATTACTTTTATTTGCTGTTATTTATCTGAAAGAAAAACAACCCCTTTATGAGTATATTTGGAAGGTGGATATCTATGTTATTCACTAATCATTTTAGGCTTTTTTCTCTTTTTATTAAGCAGCTTAGGGAGGAAGTGGCTTGGTATCTCATGTTCTGGAACCATTAGCAAATCATACTCAAGCATTCTATTATACATAATTTAAAGAAATTGACAACAGAGAATTCAAGGATTTGACTTAGTATTTTTTATTTATTTATTTATTTATTTATTTCCAGAACTGGGGATTGAACTCAGGCCCTTGGGCTTGCCAGGGAAGCGCTTATTCCACTGAGCCATCTCTCCGGCCCCTGTCATATTTATTGTCTAAAATGTTGAGAGGCGATTGCAAATTGTGGAGTTCTTTCTATTACCTACTCACCAAAGATATTCATATTTTCAATTGAAATCAGAAGCAGCCAGAAAAAATACTAGTAAATAAACAGTCATTTGCTAAGTGACGCTCACTGTGACTTGATGCAGTTACTTCAGTAACACAGAGGTGTTTTCTGGGACTTGCGGCGAAGGTTTCCCAGCCCTTGGCCTCCTGTGCTTGGCATTTTCTTTGAGCGGTTTCTTTGCCTGTGGGAGGGATTGTGCTACGGCCTCTGTCTAATGGGCAGTATGGAGCTGGAGCATTACAGAGGATGCTACGGGCAACAGTCCTGTCACGGCTGGAGAAGTGAATGCTATTTGTAAACACAGGGCTTGCTCCGTTGGGTGGCTTGCACTGATAGGACAAAATGAAATCGTTCCCAGACGTTATCTTAAATTGCTTAGACTGTTCCTGTGTTAAATATTACTACGTGCCATTTTAGGCTGTTCAGTTACAGCTTTGCATTTGATTTGGCTTGCTAGCTGTAAGGACACAGGTTGCCCTTGCAGGCTATACACTGCCCTGAGAAATGCAGGAAAATTTAGATGGCTCAGGATAGGTCTGAGTTCCCAGTGTGAGCAATGTTACAGGATATTGGTCATGTGCCTCGCTATTATCGTTTTTTATTCTTCTCTTTATTATTCTCCTCTCTTTTTTTTCAGTACTGGGGATTGAACCCAGGGATGCTCTACCACTGAGCTACATTCCAGCCATTTAGTTTTTCTTTTAAGACGAGGTCTCCCTTGTTGCCCAGGCTGGCCTCGAACTCATGATCCTCTTGGCCCAGCCTCCCCAGCAGCTGAGGTTGCCAGCTGGCATCACTGTGCTCTGCTGACTACCAGCCCTTTGCAGAAGTTACATTACATGCTGTGCGCCATCTCCTTCTTCATCCCTTGCCTCTGCCTCTGCTGGGGAAATAAAAGCCTTCACCTTCCTTCTAATGCTCCGGCTATGGATTGTTTTTTCTTATTTACTTTCTTCATTTCTTGAAGAGGCATTTACTTTCATTTGAAAGCAAAATCCCTCACATATTCTTCATATTCTAATTGCAATCTTTGCAAGCATTTTTTCAATATCTCTCTTAATTTCAGTCATTTAATCAGTAACTTCCTTTAAAAAAAATTAAATATTTCCTTTGTCACCTTGCTGCCCCTCTTATTCTGGTTGTCAAGCTGATCACATCTGATGACCTCCTGGATTTTCCTCCCCGTGTTGCCTGTTGGCCACCCCCTCGAGCCCCTGCCACGTGTGTTGGCCAAGAGGATGACCGCCATCTTTGTGATGGAGCTGGGGACACTTCCACTGCAGTGACTGTCTGACTGAATTGATCTCTTCTGGTCTAAAAGGCAGTTAACCATGGAAGAGATTTGGAGCAATATCTGATATTTAACTTAAGGCCGTATTTTGACAAACATATTAAAATTCCAAGAAAGTGACTCTCCTGTGCTTTGAAGATAGTAATTGAAAATAAAAACCCTTCTATTTATGGGTTTTGTTTTTGCCAATCTGCCACTATTTAAACTTTTTCACTTCTAAATTCTATGTGAAAATCAATCCTATTGGTGCTCAAAAGTTTTCATAACGTTAGCAGTGATTAAGATCGTAATATTAGACTTCAAAGTAAAGCAATGAAGTCTCATGTGGAAAATGATGATGGAATGCTGGTGTTGAGCAGCCGTTTGTGACGCAGTCACCTCCCCTCACAAACAGAACAATTCTGAACCAACTGAGCATAAATTATTTCTGTGAGACACAGGAGAGAACTGGATTATCCAGCAGTTTATTCTAGTTGGAATAAATGCATTCCTCACTTCTAGCTTCTGATCTCAGCTAATAGCAAAGGAAGGAAGCCAGCTGGGCAGACACAGAGATGTCCTTGTGCCAAGACATATCCTTCTGAAAGCCACACGTAGCAACAAGCCTGCAGAACGGCTTTATTCTCCCACGTTATGCCAAGAGCGATGGGTTCCAGCCAAAAAAGCCACAAGACACTTTCCGAGAAGTTCTCCCAGAAGGTCAAAAGTCAAAGAAGGAGGTCAAATCTGGGACACGGAAAGGATTGGAAAACTTTGGCTTCTGTGGTCACGGCAAACATTAAACCGAGCCCATCTACTGACCATGTCAAAATAAATCATCATTCTCCAGTATTATTTAAGTAATACTATTTAGCTTTCAACCAAAAGTTAAAAGACATGTCAAGAAGCAGGCCAACCAGTTTAGAGGGAGAAAGACAACATTAGACATGGTGTTGGTGTTAGAGAAACCAGATAGGAAATTTGAACCAGCATGGTTAATAGACTAAAGGTTCCGGGGCAGAAAGCACACAATGGCAAGAACAGATGGATAATTTGGATAATTTAGGCAGAAAGTTGAATATGCTCAGAATCAAAAGGAAAGTATACAAATAAAAATACCAAAAGAAGTGACTTCTATGGGCTTCTCAGCAGACTGGACATACTCAAGGAAAGCGTTCTGAGCTTCAGCTAAGAAGACTCCTGTATTCTGAACAGGACTTTTCTAAACTGAAATGCAAAGAACGCGAAATAGAACTTCAGAGCAATTTCACAACGACTGGCGTATGTACAGTGCGGAGTGGGGGTGACAGGCGGTGGAAGTATGTGAGAGAGTATGGCCACAAGCACCCTGAGGGCAGGGGCAGAGGCGAATCCTCAAGTCCAGGCCATGCAGAGCGCCCCAGGAAAGAAACGAGCAAAGCAGAGCTCCAGCTATGAGAGTTGTATCCAAACTTCAGAAACCAGAAAGAGAAAATCTTAGTACATGCTGCAGATGGGGCGAAAAAATAACAGAAATAAGAATGAGACTTCAATTCCGAAGCCATGAAGACAGGAGGACTTGAGGGGAGTAAGCTGGCCTTGGGATACCAGACCACGTGGAGATCGCACCCAGTGGAATTCTGTGTCTGGGGAGGAGGATTAAGCTTTTCTCTGACAAATCGGAGGATCTTGTTCCCAGCAGACGTCCCACCTTTCAAGAAATGTTAATACATGTTTTTCTTGCTATAACCTGGAGTACCTGATCTCTGAAGAACAGGTAATATTGGAAATTGAATAACTCATTTTAAAATTACAGAAGGCCAAAAGAAATCTCAAGAGAAAGTAAAATACATTTTGAACTACATAAGATACAAACAGCACCTTACTGAAACCTAAAGGATGCAGCAAAACATTTCTTCAGAGGACATCTGAACATTAAGTGCAAATATTAGCAAAGAAGAAATTTATAAAAGCCACCATCTGGGCCAGGGCTGTGGCTCAGTGGCACAGCTCTTGCCTGACAAACAAGAGGTCCGGAGTTCAACTCCCAGGACAAATTTTAAAAATCCATTAATCTCAGCTTAAGCTTTCTCTTTTAAAAGAAAAAAAAATTTAAGCCTAATTCAAGTAGAAGAAATTATAAGTATTAGAGCAGAATTCCATGCAATTTAATACAAGGCAATAATAAATTCAATCAGTGATACAAAGTCTACATGAAAAGTTACTTACCATAAAAGTACAGTAATGAACACAGTGCAGTTTCCACGAAGGAATAGATGTTTTACAAATCAGTCGATAAAAAAGGTTTTCAAAGAGACCAAAGTAGAAATAATGAACTGATCGTTTACACACAAATGCCAATGCAGGAAGCCAGGAGAAAGAACAAGAAGTTGTGCAGAAGGACCAACCACCTTACAGGCAAGAGTGAGCCAGCCGGAGCCCTGGAAACCTGCACAACTAACTCAGTCAGTTATGGACTAAGATAGAGTGCAAAACTTCCAGAACAGCTAAGAGTAATCACGTAAAAATCTAGCGAACCTCTGGTGTGGTGGTAAAGTTTTCAAGCCCATGATCCACCAAAGGAAAAATACTAAGTTGGATTATGATGAACAAAGCGAATGACTGATGAATACTCTTCATTTAAAGTCCAGCAGTTTCTTTATTAATGGCAAGTAAAATTGTACAGATTATTCCATATTTTGGAATAGCTAATGAAGCTAATGTATTAATATTCATATGCTCAACCATTGTTTATGGGTTGTTTAGAATATTTCCAACCCGCCTTGCCAGTTTTTAAGAAAACATACTGTTACAGATTGTGAGTACCGTGCAACGCAATAAACCTCTTGAGCTTAGGTTTTGGCTGAGCATTTGTGTGTTTTGAACAGCGTCTACCAACCCCTCAGTCCTTCTTGTCTGACAACTACCATTTCAGTGAGATTGTCTGAGAAAGAATTTACAACTAAAAATATAGAAAAGAAGCCTTAACCCTCTATAGTGAGATAGCAAACCAGGTAAAAATGAACCAAAGCTCTACGTGGCATCTTAGCAAAGGCGTGCAGTGACAAGCGTTTGCAAGGTGCTCAGTGTCCATTCTCTGTAGATTAATGTCAAATGAAACAAAGGATAATGCCTAAGAGAGTGGTTCAAATGCAAAGACTGAAAACTGCAAGCTGACCACACCGTCTGCAGGCAGTGATGGGAGCCCCAGGAACTCTGTCTCCGCTGGCGGAAGTGCGAGAGTGCAGCCGCTTTGGAAACACGTGGCAGTTTCTTTCTTTCTTTCTTTCTTTCTTTCTTTCTTTCTTTCTTTCTTTCTTTCTTTCTTTTTTTATTAATTTGATTGAGAAACAAATAGCAATGAGACAGTTGCAAAGCCAATTAATAGGACAGTTTCAATAATTAATACATTACACATTGTTGTCTTCATAGTGGTTATTCATAGTACAAGATGCAGACATGATGTCCTGCCCAAACACTGTTAGTACAACTCTTTCTTCTCATTGAATTAAGAGAAGTAGCTCATATCTATCCTAACTAAAGCGGAGGATGCTCTCGCTGTGTAGTCCAGTCACCGTACTCTACCCAAACAAGCCGAAAACCTAGGCCCATCCAAAGCCCACGCACACCCTGTGTTTGATCTGCAGTGCCACAAACAAAAAGCAAAACTAGTGCACAAGTGGTGATAGCAGCTTTGTTCCTAATTGCTGGATTGGAGGTAAACAGGATGTCCTTCAGTGAATAAGTGGACGCCCAGCATGGGGGTCGGCTGTGTGATGGATGAGATTAAGCAATAATAAGAGATAAACTAACAGGCCATGGGAGGACATGGGTGAATCTGACATGCACACTGCTTGCCAGGAGAAGGAAGCCGGCCTGGGCTCTGAGAAAAGCCTGACAGCAGGTGCAGGGAAGACCAGCGGGCACTCAGGAGAGGGCCAGGGCGGTGCAGTAAGTGGAGCACAGGTTTTGTATCTTTTGTTAAGGACAGTGAAACTGTTCTGTATGCTAGAACAGTCAGTGTATGATGCCTTACCCTTGGGAAAAAGATGAAACTTTTAACACAGAGAGTAAATCTCAGTGTATGTCTAGGGATCCATCCATAGCATACAGAAAGGGACAAGAAAACCTAATTATCTTACAACTTTATAAAAATGTTTTGCCAAATGAAATGAGAAAAAAATGGTGTTGTCAATCAATATAGACATAATCTCCTTAGTGGAACCCTTGACTGAAGTCTTTGATTGTCTTTGCTGAATAATGGTGGGCTAGCAAACGTGATACTGCGCTGCATGCACGCTGGATGAACAACTGCATGAATGGAGAGGATGTAGAAACCAGCTAGCGGAGGAGGCTAGAACTGCCTGTGTGATGCTGGCTCTGTGCTGGACACGAGTGGGGCCTCCTGTTTAGATCACTGTTGATATAGGTGGGGCTGTGGTTTGTGTCCAGGTGTCCCCCAAAGCCCCATGCAGTCACTGGGACAGGCTTCTAGCGCTTGCGAGTAATTCGTGATCCGAGGCTGGGATTATGGGTGTGCGTGCTACACCCACTGTAGGGCAGACAGCCTGAACACAGTGTAAGGAAGGGAGGCTTGCTAGGCTGCAGCCACCGCTCCTCCCTCTTGCCCTTCTGCTGCGGTGAGCAGCTGCCCTCTGCCCTGTGCCGCTCTGCCTTGGAGCCAGCCAAGTATGGACTGACACCTCCATTGACTGTTAGCTAAATAAACCTTTCCTTCCTTAATTTTGGGTGTTGGGTATTTTGTCCCAGCAATAAAGGAAAAGTAAACAAGTCAGATGGCCCAACACAGGAATAGTCAGAGATACCAGCATGTGCATCAGTAATTAATATGCACACGTCCATTTCCCCGCTGACTGAGCTGGTAGGGCCTGTAATCGGTGATCTTTCGGTACCGCACTGAACTCCAGAACCGTGGCTTCTGAAGCTAGAACCCTGGATCCCTGGAGAACTGACTGGCTATAGCGATGGGCATCGGCTTTACGAGGTGGACCCACAGCAACCTGCAGGACACAGAAGTTGTGAACAGGGTAGGCTGTGGAGTTGCAGCAGAAGAGGGACAGTTGAGGAACTTCCTCCCAGTGCCACGAGCTGGAGCAACTGGAGAAACAGCATAGTTGTACTAGGTTATAGCCCAAGATGTAAGTTAAATATTTATGTATTCATAGTCACATAAATAAAGGGGAGGGAATACAAATCTCTTGTGCAAAGGGACCCGTGTGACTTGCACACACATTGCACGCTGTAAGCACTGGGCCACACCTCCACTCCTACCATGTGGCCTGCCTGAGTGGCTGCATTCTGAAGTACACAGCACAGAGAGGTCGCAGTACAGCCTCCTGCAGGTAAGGGACAGGGGAGCATGATTGGTGAAAGCCACACAGGCAGCAGGCACCCCATGATGGGATCAGGTGCCCCATGACGGGATCAGGCGCCCCATGATGGGATCAGGCCGGGAAACTCCGCAGCTGCGGCCTCCTGCAGGCTGATGGAGAGAGAAGCCCCACCACACTGCAGGAGGATCCCCAGGCCCCTTCCACACAGCTCACAACACTTGCTCCAGGCTGTTGAGAAGACAGCGTAAAACTGAAGCAGTCACTGTTGGAGGGCAGCCGCGTGTGCACACACACACACACACACACACACCCCTGGGAAGTGTGGCACAGGGTCGTGGAGTAGACAGAGGCCAGGTATAAAGCCCAGAGCGCGGGCAGGTGAGGGGCTCTTGGCTTCCAGAGTCCACAGCTCCTCCCCACCAGAGCGGGTCCACGGCTGCTGGCTCCCCAGCTGCCCACCAGCTGGATGCTAGTGCCAGAAAACTGTCCCCTAGCTTTTGGATTTGTCTGCGAGTCTAAAACTGTCCTCAGACAACAAAATCAAGAACAAAAATTCAAAGCTGGTTTTGCAATAGAAAGCTAAAATTATTTTTATGTTTCAGGAGACCAAGGCAAAATTGTTCTTCTTGATTCAAGAACAATAATTTAGACGTCGATGTCTAACCTATAACTTTCTTTGCATGAAAATGTCTGTACCGGATTGCCCTACATGAAAAGTACCCCCAGAGTCTGTGAAATACGTGAGCACCTCTGTTTGTGAGTGAACCAAGTCCTACAGAAGTTGTACCCAATTTCCTGAGGTAGTGGAAAGGCAATTCATTAAGATTCCTGCAGTGACTCTATAAGCATGAGTGTTGCCTGTCATCCTTAACCAGCAGAAATTGTCAGAGCAGTTGCTTTAACTCCCTGCCTACTGAAATTAAGACGGCTTGGGCCATTAATGCTTGTGTGAAATTGGAGAGCTTTGTCTTAGTTTGAAAGAGCGGTAACCTTAACATGTGGAGCAAAATGATCGTGTAAAGCAGCATACAATTGTTTATATGTCAGGAATGTTAAACACATCAGCAGGGCATTACAGATGCATGGTACCAGCACAGCTCCGCAACAGACACGTAGCAGCCACGGGGTCGTGACACGGCACAGAGCCCTGTCTCTGGGAAATGATGTTTTTGCATCAATTAAAACCATTATTTCGGGCCAGGGAGATAGCTCAGTGGAATAAGCGCTTCCCTGGCAAGTGCAAGGGCCTGAGTTCAACCCCTGGTTCCACAGGGGAAAAAAAAAGAAAACCATTATTTCGGCCAGTGAGATAGCTCAGCGGATTAAAGTGCCTGCTAGCAGGCACAGGGGCTGGGGGTTAGATCCCCGGCCTCCCATGCTGGCCCCACCCCCAGGGGGCACGCACCTGTAATCCCAGCTGTTGGGGGACTGTAAACAGGCAGATCACTATGAGTCCGATCTAGTAGTGAGACCCTGAACACACTGTAGACCCTTTCCTAAAATACAAAAAATTAAAAAATAATTAAATTAAAAAATCATTCTTTCTCTTTGGGAGTCACTTCCTTTGGGGTACATCTTAACTGACTTATTCCTTAACCAGAAATATGAAAAGACACTTTACAGACATCTAACTGCAGGAAAGCCCTTCGCTCTCTGCTGCCAAAGATAGAAAATGGAATTTGAAATAGGCATTGATTAAAAAGATGCTGAAAGTCCGTTGCATTTCCGAATTGTAAGAGAATATGGAAACCCCGTGCTGTGCCTGACCTGGCTACTGCGATGCTTCTGCAGCCCGAGTATGCTGTCGAGCACACTTCCGAGGACAGGTCCCCTTGGGCCACCGGCTGAACCGGTATGGAGAGAAGTCGCTGGAAAACACCCTTTCCCAGTTCTGCTACCGAACTGATGAGGACAAGACAGCCTCGAAGGGAGAAGCACTGTGTTCAGAGCTTGACGGTCCGGCCTGGCGCCTGTAGGTAGATCTACTGCAGGTCTCAGCCCGCCTGTAGGGAATCCTTAGAAAGAGCACAGCAACTTCTTGGGAAGCGGTGCACCCTGGGAGCACTGCTGTGGGCCGCCCTGCCGGCGGGGTGTGGCTGACAGAGGAAGCCAGGTGGGATCAGAAAGATTCTTTGGAGGTGCAGCGAGAGTCAGAGCTGACCTGCATCAGTGCTGAAGAATAAGTAAAGGCGCCACTCTGCATGGCGTGGCTCTCCGCAGGGAAGCCACATCGAACTACTGAGCAGGGGCAGCCAGAACGGGGACTGCTGCAGAGGACGTGGACCATGAAGGACACTGGGACTGTAAAGCCGGCAAGTGGATGAAGGCGGGGAGGGAGGCTTGTTGACCTAACGGCAGAATGAACGCCCGGGGACTGGCCCAGCCTCCTGGGAAGGCCTCGCAGCGTGAATGCTCACCAATCCTGTGGCTGCAGGTGCTTGGAGAAAGGCCTTTGGGGACCAGGACTCTTGGGGCGGAACCCAGGGCCTCCCACCTGTGAGCTGCCTGCAGCCCCACAGAGCTGCGTCTTGCAAAGGAGCCCCAGGGACCCGGGAAGACACTCTTCTTCCTGATTCTGTTTTTAGCTCTGCCCTCGTGGAAAATCACACTGCCCAAGTACACGCTCCTGTGTTGGGAGAATTCAGTGTGAAGAACAAAAATCTACAGAGCATCCCGTGGTGGTGGGGGGAAGGAAAATGGCGTCACCTTTGCTGTAGAAATGAGCTGAAAATTTCTGAAGTAGTGATTACCACAAATATGGGAATAAATTTAACTTTTACCATTAAATTCAAAGATTTCCAGGAACCTATGATTTAAAAAATAAATAATCTTCCTACTGAAAAAAATATGTACATTTTGGCAGGGCCCATAAAATAGTCTTCTAAAGAAATTATTTACTACCAAGAAATTCTAAGAGAAACACACGTACAAATATTGGCCACATAACTAACTGCTCTCTTCCAAAGGCATGATTCCCACACTCAATTCAACATGAAAGCAGCACTTAGAAATATGTTGCTCTTCACCTCATCTGCATAATGTTCCATTCCCCATCAGAGGATAAGTCATGACAGACGTTTCTCACACATTATTGATAGCTTGCAGGTAGAGAGACATCACAAACATCCGTCGTCTGTGGTCTTGAAGCCCCACTTGGAATTGTTTCATAATTTAGATTTGCACTGTGGGTATGTCTTAGCCCTTTAGTTATGCCAAAGGATGATGGACGGTCACATAGCTACTTAGTAGGAAGGTAATGACAGCCTTGTGTCATCCGCTGAGGTCTAGCCATAGCACCACACGGTGTGAGGAAGTGGGATTTGGGGAGTGGACAGGTGATGAGGACAGAGCCCTCCTTTTCAGACCCTTAGAAAGAAGCTTCTGCCTGTGGAGGGACTCTCCTGTCCTGTCCTGTCCTGT